ATATTTGCTTATATTGTATAGCTATAATTAGAGGTAAATCAACCTATAATATTACCGATAATCACTACTTAGATTGTACAGCTATAGCTTGAGGCAAATTAGCCTATAATCACTATGTACTCATCCATTTATTGAAATGAAAGAGAAGAGAAAGACATGCGGTATTCAACCAAAATTCTCTCTTTTTTGTCAAGCTTTTCGGGTAGTGCTAAAAAAGAAGGTGGACTCTAGTATATTGAGGATGATAAATACATGACTAAGCAAGCTACTGTGGTTAAGAGTGACTCTACTTCGCTACCAATAATAATGCAATAATGTTGTGGCACCGTAGGTTAGGTCATCCAAAGTTTCATTATCTTAAACATTTGTTTCCCAAGTTTATTTATAAATAAAAATCCTAGTTCTTTCGGTTATGAAATTTCTCATCTTGCTAAACATACTCGTACATCCTTCCTAATCCAATCATACCAAGAGTCTCGTCCATTTTTCTTAATTCATAGTGACATATGAGGACCCTCTAATGTAAAAAATATCTACGGTACATAGTGGTTCATCACCTTTATCAATGACCATAATCGAGTTTGTTGCGTTTATCTACTTAAAGAAAAATATGAGGCTGCAAAAACATTTCAAAATTTTCATTCAATGATAAAAACCCAATTTCACACCTCTATCCAAACATTAAAAATTGACAATGTAAAGGAATATTTTAATGCAATTCTTGGACACTACCTTGAAACTATTGGAATAATCCATCAAAGTTCATATCCGGACACACCGCAACGAATGGTGTGGCGGAAAGAAAAAATCATCACCTTCTTGAAGTTATTAGAGCTTTAATGTTTGCCATGCAAGTCCCAAAATACCTTTAGGGGGCAATTGTTCTAACGACCTCTTACCTTATAAATAGAATACCCTTTCAAGTTCTTAAATTTGACTCCCCATTATCAACTTTGTTAAAAACTTACCCAACATTTCGTTCTATTTCCTCCTTACCACTTAAGACTTTCGGTTGTACGAGCTTTTGTACACGTCTAAAATTGTTCTAAACTAGACCCAAAATCCATCAAATAAGTCTTTATTGGATATTCTCCCACTCAACGTGGGTACAAATGTTATTCTCCATCACTTCATCGTGTTTTTATGTCCATGGATGTCTTCTTTCTTGAGTCTCAATCTTTTTTCAGAATACTTATCTTCGAGGGGGATTTTAAGAGAAGATAAGTCATGGGAAATACACGAAACATAATCCTTATCCTTATCTCCCTTTTCCATTTCAACCTCGATTCTTAATATTGAATCCCGACCTATTGTGCCACTCAATACACACAAGGAAACATTGAAAATAAGAGGAGATAACTCCCAACCATAATTGCTTGTTTATTCACATAGAAAACATTCTCAAAATGAGGAGAACCACGAAACTCGGTATGGTCGAGAGTCGACCAGAATGCGAGTCTCGTTATCGAAGGTACTAGTGAACTTGTTCGGCATGAGATTGAGCTTCAAAACCACACTTTAGACCTGGATATTCCAATTGCTCATAGAAAAGGAACCAAGTCTTGTACCCAGCATCCTATATCCGGGTTTGTCTCTTATGAAAGGTTGTCCCCTGGATTTTATGCTTTCACTATTTTACTTGTCCATAACGAGAGGTAACAAAAAATATACGAAGCACTTGCTGATCCAAAGTAGAAAGCAGCTGTTCAAGAAGAAATAGGTGCATTGAATAAAAGTGCCACATGAGAGATTACAAAACTCCATGAAGGGAAGAAAACGAGTGGGTTGTAAGTGGGTCTTTACAATAAAGTTCAATGTTGATGGTAGTATCATTCGATACAAAGCTAGGCTTGTGGCTAAAGGCTTTACTCGGACATATGGAATTGACTATCAAGAGACCTTTGCTCCGAGTGGCTAAACTAAATACGGTAAGAGTTCTTCTCTCCTTAGCCTCTAATCTTGATTGGCCACTACAACAATTGGATGTAAAGAATGCATTCCTAAATGGTGACTTACATGAGGAAGTCTATATGGATGCACCTCCTGCATTCGACGGAAAGGATAACCTAGTGTGTAGATTGAAAAAATCTCTTTATGGGTTGAAACAATCTCTTAGTTAGTGGTTTGAAAAATTTATTTAAGTTATCAAGAGTAGAGGTTTTACTCGAAGCACAATCGATCACACATTATTTTACAAGCACTCTAAAGATGGAAAAATAGCCATTCTTATAATGTATGTAGATGACATTATCCTAACGGGAGATGATCATATAGAATTGACTTCTTTAAAGAACTACCTAGCGAAGTGTTTGAATTGAAAGACTTGAGGGCTCTAAGGTACTTCCTTGGTATGGAAGTTGTTAGAAGCAAATCAAGGATTACGGTTACACAATAAAAGTATGTACTTGATCCGCTTCGAGATACCGGTATGTTGGGTTGTAGATCGAGTCGAGACACCTATGGATCCAAATACTAAGTTAGATATTGAAGGAGGTAGAGAGGTTGATCGAAACGAGTGTCAAAGGCTTGTAGGGAAGGCTGATTTACTTGTCACACAACCAAGACCGGACGTTGCCTTTCCGGTAAGTGTGATTAGTTAGTTTATGCATTCACCTAAGGACACACATCTTAATGCGACCTATAGAATTTTGAGGTATTTAAAGAATACTCGAGGTAGGGATTTATTCTTTAGGAAAGGTGAACATAGAATGATAGAAGTTTATACTTGATGCGGATCAGGCGGGTTCTCCACTTGGATAGAAGGTCAACTTCGGGTTATTGCACATATGTCCGGGGTAATCTTGTAACTTCGAAGGAGTAAAAGCAACCTATAATTGTTAGAAGCGGTCAAAGGCGAGTTTCGGGCTTTAGCTCAAGGTATTTGTGAATGAATATGGCTAGGGAGATTACTTAGTTAATCGAAGATATCTAACGACTTTCCCATGAAAATGTATTGTGACAACAAGACAACGGTGTGTATAGCTCAAAATCCTGTTCATCACGATCGAACAAAACACGTAGAAGTTGATCGACACATCATCAAGGAGAAGATTGACAATGGAAGTGTGTGCATGGTTTATATCCCTACTAAAATTCGAGTCAGTGATATTCTAACTAAAAGCTTGCATAAACCAAGCTTTGAAGATTTAGTAAGCAAGGTAGGAATGATTAACATATACGCTCCAAGCTTGAGGGGGAGTTAGAAAGATCTTGTATGATTAGGCTATTCGGAAAATCATTCTATTTTAAGAAGTAGATCATTAGTCTCCTAAGTATTTAGAGTCAATTTCCTAAATAGTAGATGTCACTATAATTTAGGGATGTATATGTTTTTTTCTAAAGAAGTAGATTAGGAAAAGATATCCGCCTATAAATATGTATAGTCTTACCTCGATGTACGGAATAATAAAATATATATTTCTCTCTTAGAAACTTTCATAACCGTTTGGAAGGGAACCAATTAGTTCATATTTTGATCTCTTTCAGCTAAACCACCACCAAACTGCACTTACTAGTTGCTAAACACTTACACGTTGTTAATAGACAAGAAATAATACAATAAAGCACATCAATCTCATGCTTATTTCTGGAATATACTTTCCTTTAGCATTCAAGAAATAATAAAAGAAAAAAGGGACACCAACTTTTTGGATAATTTTAATTTAGCCAAGGGTTAAAAGGAAAAAAGAAGTAAATGGTATTTGAAGTATGAAAATATTTCATAAAGCTATTAAAAGGTGGGGAAACAAGATGAGTTTGTTGTAATGGGCATGAACGGGGCAAAGGAATGTGGTGAAAGGTGCTCTGCAACTATGGCCATTGTAAATTAGGACATTTTTAGTCATGCTTAGTGGGATCGGCACTCATGTAAGTTGTGCTTTATTTTCTTGTAGGTACCAGATTTTGCCTTAAATTTCGAAAGAGGAAAGTCTGAAGGTTACGGTTTTTCTTCTGCTTCCTCTCTTATAATATATTTTTTTCAAACATTTAAAGAATTGATTACATGTCCGAGGCCATATGGGAGATTATGGTGGGATGAAACAACGTCGACGGTTGTTACTTATCCGGATATTCACGACCGAGTCCCTCCTCGCTCTTGTTGAAGCTTGCAAGTCACATGTTTTTTATATTGTTATAACTCTTTATGCATTTGTAGGTCGTAATACATCCGGAGCAAGATCGAGTTCTCACTGTACGAGAATGTGCGAGGTCGCGAGGTTTTCCCGATTATTATAGATTCAGTGGGACAGTTAAACAAAGGTGAGTATTTTTCTTCAAAAAATAACACTTTTTTTCTCTCTCAAAAAAGCCTGATAGCTTTACGGGTGCATATTTTTGAAAGGAAAAGACTATAAAGTGCATCAATCGTAAAATCCTCTCCGATATGTATGCATGTGTGTGCGCGATGCGTGCGGTAACTTTCATAATGTTTATGACTAAATTTTGTTTTTTTTTTTTATAACTTTTTGGCGAGTACCGTCAAATTGGAAATGCGATTGCGGTTCTCGTTGGTCGTGCCTTGGGGTACGCTTTAAAAAACGAAGTGACATTAACTCCCAAGTTCTCTCACTCAACTAATCTTCGATTAGCTAAATCCTCGTTTGAGAAGACAGAATAGTATTATCTCATTATATGCGGCATTGACGTAAAATTTTTCATAATTAGCTTTGTTCATACATGTAAAATATATTTTTTTAATGAAGTCTGTATACTTTATTCAATGAAAATTGGTCATAAGAGTCATATGGACTTCATCCTAAAATAATTTGCAGTCATTAATATTGTTTTTTAATATTAGCTTCATTTATTGTTTTTTTTTTATTTGGAGAAGATATTAGCTTAATTACCTTATTTGATATATATAAGATATTTTGTTTAATATTCTAATTGGGAATTATTGAATTGTTATATTTCTCCGTTGGAACACTCACTCCCTCCCTTCTTGTCTCTTTAATCATCTCCTCCTCCTCTACCCCACGTCAGCCAAGAAAGAAAAAAAAATGGGCTCCATCAAATTCCTCCTACTCTCAAGAACTTCACCCAAAACTCTTTCTCAACTTCTCCAACCCACTCCTTCGTATTCCCTAAGAAACTTTCACTCCCTCATCTCCCAACAATTCAATTCCTTCCAAACTTCCACCTTCTCATCTTCTGCTCTTGAACTACCAGAAACTGGAGCATCTTCTCTAAGCCTCGATACTCGTGTCCCTGCTACTGTAATCACTGGCTTTCTTGGCTCGGGAAAGGTAATTTTTTTTTTTTTTGCACACACACTTATCTGTGTGTGCGTGTGGTTTCTGCTTCTTGAATTGCTTTCTGGGCAGTCTTTGATTTTCTTTTTCTTTTTCTTCAAACAAAGCACTGATAGCGTTTAATAGCAATTTAAATGCTTTGGGCTTTTCAAGACACTGCATTCCTTTCCACTTGTATTTTTTTTAATACTGTATTTAATCTTCTCTTAATGTGAACTGAATTCTTGACAATGCAGACAACTTTACTGAACCATATTTTGACATCTCAACATGGCAAGCGGATTGCAGTCATAGAAAATGAGGTATGTACTTTGCATCTTACAAAGTTCTATACTTTGTTTACTTTTTAAATTATTCGTTTTCTTATGGATAATTACTGATAACCTTGGTTCTCTATTTAAACGACTGATGGTACTGTTTGGATTTATTATGGTATTTCTTTGTCCAAAATTTTATATGGAGGACAGATTATTGGTAAATGGTGTTTTATATAATTGTATATAGTAGCCAAAAAAATATCTGTGCTTGGGTGGATTTCTGCTTTATATTTATAAAATTTAATGGTTATGTTGGTTACTTCCGGTGCAGTTTGGTGATGTGGATATTGATGGATCGCTGGTTGCCAGTCATTCCACTGCGAGTGATGACATCATCATGGTTAACAATGGCTGCTTGTGCTGTACAGTAAGAGGAGATTTAGTTAAGATGCTCTTGGAGTTGGTGAAGAAAAAAGAGACAAATTTGATCATATTATTATAGAAACGACAGGTATGCGATGTTCGTAGGATTTTTCAGATTTTAATTGTGCAATGTGAGGTAGGGGCTAGTTATAATTTTAAAAGGCTCGGGTGCATTTGGGATTGATTACGAGTTGGAAAAAATTTTTGGTCTGTAGCCAAAATGCAGATTTGGATGTTGGGTTGCCTTTGTATTTGACTTCTAATGAAAGTTTTAACGTCGTATGATAATCTACCCTCAGAAAAAAGGGGAGAAAGGGAAGAAAATAAATTCCCCCCATTAGAGCCTCGATTTGTCATGGACTTCTCATTCTTTGGCCTGTAACAGTTTCATAATAGCCTTCTTATTCTTTCTACTTAACATACGTTGCATATATAAGCATAAGTTAAGTGAGTGAGGCAAAATTTATCATTTCACATGTTGACTGCATCGGTATAGATACAAAAAGCTTGACTACTTTGTTATTTACGAATTCTTTTTTTGCAGGACTTGCTAAGCCAGGCCCAGTTATAGAAACATTCTGCTCTGATGAGCTGGTTTCGCGTTATGTGAAACTGGATGGAGTTGTTACTATGGTGGACTCCAAGCATGCCTTGCAACATTTGAATGAAGTAAAACCAAGATTTGTTGTAAACGAGGCAGTAGAACAAGTTGCTTATGCTGACCGAATTATATTGAACAAGGTCAATTTTGATTTCGTCCCTGAAAGCGTTTACCATACTTGTTGGTTAATTTCTTCATCATACTATCATCTTACTGATGCTCATACTTCATATCCTTCTGAACCAAAAAAGGAATTAATGTTTCTTACTATTTGTTCTAACCTTTTGGCAGAAAGATTTGGTGTCTGAGGATGAAATGAAGAGATTGACTATGAGAATCAAGGTAAGATTTTCATTTATATAATCACATATTGAAGGATCAGTCTAAGTTGAACCCTAATATGTATGAGATTGAATCAGTTGTACAAACCCAAAGTTGAATCATATATTAAATTAATCCAAAGCTCACTTTGAATTTTTGAGTGGATGTTTGTGAGTTTCATTTGCTTCTGTGGCTTAGACTGTTGCAGTGAAATCTGAAAATTTTCTATTCTTGCTTTGGAATGCTAATTCCATATTGAGTCTGGACACTTTAACATGAAGCCATGAACAGAGACACGGTAGTTCCGCTTCCAAACATATATCGGCATTTTCTTATTTGTATTTGAACCGTATTTTGGTTGCATCTTTTGAGGCTTCTAATTTGGATACGCTTCTACCTTCTGTCTTGAAATTATTGTTAACACTGCACAGCTTTCATGCTTTTGATTCTTTTTCCAGCATATCAATGGGATGGCTCCAATTAAGCTAGCCAAATATGGCTCTGTTGACATGGCCTTTGTTTTGGGAGTGGGAGGATATGATCTCGAAAGGTTACTGCTACTCCCTTTGAGTGAGGGATCCCATGAAATCTTTCTCTTTCGTTTCATTTCTTTTAACTATAATTGTTCTCCTAGTAAATATATTTTTCCTCGACTCATACTCAAACAAACAAGAAAACTGCAAAATATTCTGATTTTAGAAAACATATCTGTTCTTTATAGTGTAGTATGAACTCATGTACTTGGATACTTTGATTTCTGCAGAATTGATTCAGAAGTTCATGTAGACAATCCCTGCAGTTCGACACATCAACATGGGACTGCACAAGGTTGCCATTTTGTCATTGTTTCTCTTTTCTGTAATCACTTTCCACTCTATTTGCTACATGTGACCTATTGAAGTTAATTTTATCACGAAGCAGCAATTGTTCGGTGATTATTTGATGAGAGATTGTGCATTGAATGAATTTCTTAGCCTGGCATAAAACTTTGTATCGTCAAATGTTTACCATTTCAGAAACCTTCTTCTCTATTTTGTTGTCATTTTGAGCAATCATTTACTTGGGATGTGTGTTTATGAAAGATTTGGCATTTTTGACCGACTTATAGTTGCCTTCTATGTTCTGCATATCCCATGGACAGAAGCCATGTCCTCCAGTGCTGATGAGGTGTTTTTGTTGTCGGAATTTCGGAGGGTTTGAGATTATTGTGAGTCTTAAATGAGAGGTCTTACAGTCGATCAATTTCATGAAATACTGTGATGACTGATGACCAAAACTAGAACAAAATGGAACATGCATTGTCTATGCTTCTTTGATAGCTGTGGCCACTCATCAGATATCCAGGGGTGAAACTTTTTGAAGCCATTCTAGGCTTGGCAGGCGTGAATCATGATTATGATGTAACCTCAGGGGCAAAAAATTTCTAAAAATTATGTTCCTCAAGTTTCCCTTCTCACCCCTTCCTAAACGGCAAAACAAACAAGAAAAGGCCGAAGAGAAGGAAAACCAAACCAATTGAAAGCACTTGTAGCCTTCCTTTTTGCTATCGTTATTTCCCTTATCTGTTCATATTTGTCCTGCCATCAGAGTTCAAAATTTAATTTAGCTTCCTTTGATATCCACGTTTTTCTAACACAACTGTTATGGTTGATTGCAGAACACCATGGAATGCATCATCACGACCACGTGCATGATTCTGCTGTATCTAGTGTCAGTATAGTTTCTGAGGGAAGGCTTGATCTTGATGAGGTATTGCACTTTGGTCCTTTTGTTATGGATTAAATCACAGCATACTTCCATTCAAGAACATCTAGCATCTTACGTACTATATACACTTTGGTGAGATGGATTTCTCGTATTCACTCTCTCTTCTTTTTTCGTTGTTTTTTTTTTTGGTGGACATCCATAAACACTAGTTGGATTAATTAAGCAGCAATTTGTTGACAGAATATGGGTACCTCTCTCTCTTTTTTCTTGATGAGTTAATTGGAATGCTCTAAATAGGTGATTACCAAATTATTTACTTGCTCAAATGTCAATTATAAATCACAACTTCTCAATTTAATGTGATCCCTCCAGTTAGGACCACATTGACCAAATTTGATGTAGCCACCTTGCATATATGATGGTTATGTTGATGTTTTTATTTTATTTATATGTTAATGGATCTACTTATTTCCGACCATCTCTAAGGTTTCTTGTCTTCAATTTGGAAGAAAGAGACAAACATTCTGATGTATAATGGTGAGGAAATTTAATAATTCCTTTTTGGTTGTAAATGGATCAGGTCGACGATTGGCTTGAAAGGCTAATTGAAGAAAAAGGTGAGGACTTGTACCGGATGAAAGGTGTCTTGTCCGTCACCAGCTCTGATCAACGATATATTTTCCAGGTTTTTCCTCCTCATTTTGTTGTGCTTTATTTATTAACCAATCATACCTGTAGGCGTTTTGCAGATCCTAACCTGGCTATTTTTTTTTTTAATCAAAATCTTGACCTCCTTCCATGGTGTTTTTCTTTCAGGGGTTGCATTCTTTTTTGGATGGTTGCCCAGGCGAAACTTGGGGACCTGATGAGAAGAGAATAAACAAACTTGTGTTCATAGGAAGAAATTTAGATGAAACTCTACTCAGAAAAGGTTTTAAAGGTTGCCTAGTGTGAAGAAAAGTTATGTTAGAACTAGCATCACCAAATAGTGTGGCATTTCTAGGAAGAATTCGTTAAGATTATTGTAAAAAGCCAAAAGTAATTCATTTTTCATGTTGATATCCACTTTAATTAGGGATGAATTAATACAGCGATTACGATATTCCAAAGCCTGAAGTCCTTAGAATGTTACAAAACAAAGTTGCCTCATGATCCCATATGCAAGAATCACAAGTAGGAAAATCTTCTTCATCAATCCATCCTCTCTTAGTAAATTTGCTACAGTTGCATGTTCTTCCATGGCTCTTGGGTTCTGCTGGTCCAATACCAGCTTCACTTTTATCTATCCACATGCTCCGAACAATTCCTTTTAGCTTGTTTCTACACTGTCTAATTGATTTGGAGCTCTTCAAAGAAGAAAGCAGTTCTAAACCCTCTTGTTTAAATTGCCCACCATAACATACAAGGATAATACCACATACGTATGTTGCTTCTGCATGCCCTTTTTCTGCCGCGTTCTTTAAGTATTGGAATCCAGATACTGGTTTCTTAGAACTAAAATACTCAACCATTCCTTGTCTAAATAAAGCTTCAGGATTTCCATTCTCCTTGCAACGGTCCAAGAAAGAGGAGGCATCGTGGCTAATCCTCCATGGTATAACTGGGAATTTCTCTAGTGTGATTTGCTCAAAAATATAGTTCTCTGATGCTACTTCAAGAAATTCCTTGCAACTTAATTTAGCTGTGAAGAGATCTGAAAACGATGCTGAGGCCACGCGAGCAAGAACTTCTGTTAATAAATCTTTGGGAAAGTTTTTGAAAAACTCATGAGAATTCGTTTTTCTTCTTCCTTTTGTCATGTTTTTCTTTCTGCTTACGAAAGCCATTGACTATCAACCAAAAATTAAAAAGCTTGTTTTGCACAACCTCTGTTCAAAAAAAAAACAAAAAAAAAAAAAGAACGAAAAAGAAGTAAGTGTCTCGCACCTCTATACTCTAGTTTGTGTCGAGAAATAACTAGTTGAAGTCAATAGTGTTTCTTATAGGTTTGACCTGAAACTATATATATATATATATATATATATATATATATGAACGGACTAAAGCTGTTGTAAATCCTAACTGATAAGGAAAACCTACGTATCCAAATTCTACAAGGATTAGGTTTCTTTTTAGTTGACAGATCACAACTTATACACTTACAAGCATCCAATTAATATACACTTACGTAAAAATAAATAAATTATAAAATAATTTTGTTCAAATGGATTCATATAATAGCGTGGAAACCTACTAATTTGATATGAAAGAAAAGACGTGAACTTTCATAACATAATATCAACTCAAAATCCCATTACACAACAGCTGTTATTTTACTCCAATGCAACACCTTTTCTTTTATCGTTATTGCCGATACGACAGTTTGAGTGCCAATAAGCGTTCCTTATAACGTTGGCCTCAGTTATTTTGCCAATCACATGCTTGATATGTGCAATTGAGTCTTTCCAAGTATTTCATAGTAGAGCTTAGGCACAAGAATGGAGTATGGTATTGCCTAAACTTCTATTTTTAAACTACGAGGGGAAAAAGTTTAAGGGGTTTTTCAGGATCATTAATCTATCTATTGAAGCAATTTGCAGGGTGAAGGAGCAAAAGAACATATTGGTAGGATCTTAGAGTTTTTCAAGACAACAGACAGGGAAGAATATTTTAGGGTACAATGGTTTTACAGAGCAGAAGACACGGTAAGTACATAAATTTTGTTAGATTGAATCGTTTATTTATCTCTTTATCAAGTTCTTCACTTAATGTTCCCTCAGGTTGTGAAAGAAGCAGCTGATTTTCATGACAAGAAGCGCCTATTTTATTCCACAGTGACAAATGATAATCTAATTGATTGCATTATTTTCAAAGTCAGTGTTGTACAAACATCACCTAGTGTATGATTCAGTGTTAGTTCTAGACTTTTATCAACTTCAAGGAAAAAGTTTATTTCTATTACTGCTTTTGGGGATCTTTTTGAGTTAATTGAATAAACGATTCTAAGTGGTTGTTATTTAGGGAAGTCCTTGTCTCGTGCTTTTGAGGGTCCAGCTGATGATCTTGTTATCATGTTTGACAACAAAAATATTACCTGATGCATTTGTGAAAGAATAGAACAAATTGTATTGGAAGAATTTTGGAGTTTGTATTGATAAAAAAGCATAAGTAAAATACAAGTTATATTACTTAAATATTCATGTAGTGTTTAAGTGTCGATCCTTTTTCATCACTCAAAAATTATCTGCGTTTAATATCATGTGCTGGAAAATTTTTTATGTGAAGTTTTGTTTGGGTTTTGACTACTTTCTGCATAATTCTACAAGCTAATCATGTTCCCAGATAATTTTAGAGGTTAAGTATTCCTTCTCTTTATGTTTGATTGGAAAAGAAAATAAAATTCTCAAGCTGTTTGTTGAAGCTAAAGGTCAATGATATAAAAGGGTTTATGATGGTTAAAAAAAAGCCTGAAATTACACTTTCAAATAAATTAAACTTTATTCCCTTTTAACCATCACGGGTCATAATTCATATTCATTAGCTTTTGTTTGACGTTGTAGTTTGGTAAAGATGATTTTCTACTCGTAACTATTTCGTTAGGTGCACTGGAAGGGACATTGTACCAGTTGACTGCATTGGTATAGATACCAAAAGCTTGACTACTTTGTTATTTATGAATCCTTTTTGATGAGAGATTGTGCATTGAATGAATTTCTTAGCCTGGCATAGAACCTTGTATTGTCAAATGTTTACCATTTCAGAAAGCTTCTTCTCCATTTTGTTGTGATTTTGAGCAATCATTTACTTGGGATGTGTGTTTATGAATGATTTGACGTTTTTGACCAACTTATAGCTGCCTTCTATGTTCTGCATATCTCATGGACAGAAGGCATGTCCTCCAGTGCTGATGAGGTGTTTTTGTTATCGGAATTTCGGAGGGTTTGAGATTATTGTGAGTCTTAAATGAGAGGTCTTACAGTCGATCAATTTCATGAAATACTGTGATGACTGATGACCAAAACTAGAACATGAATGGTCTATGCTTCTTTGATAGCTGTGGCCACTCATCAGATATGCAGGGGTGAAACTTTTTGAAGCCATTCTAGGCTTGGCAGGCGTGAATCATGACTATGATGTAACCTCGGGGGCCAAAAATTTCTAAAAATCATGTTTCTCAAGTTTCCCTTCCCACCCCCTCCTAAAGCACAAAGCAAACAAGAAAAGGAAAACCAAACCAATTGAAAGAAGCACTTGTAGCCTTCCTTTTGGCTATCGTTATTTCAATTATCTGTTCATATTTGTCCTGCCATCAGAATAAAAAATTTAATTTAGCTTCTTTTGATATCCAGGTTTTTCTTACATAACTGTTATGGTTGATCGCAGAGCACCATGGAAGGCATCATCACGACCACGTGCATGATTCTGCTGTGTCTAGTGCCAGTATAGTTTCTGAGGGAAGGCTTGATTTTGATGAGGTATTGCAGTTTGGTCCTTTTGTTGAGATGGATTTCTCATATTCACATTCTCTTCATTTTTCTTTGTTTTTTTTTTTTGGTGGACATCGATAAACACTAGTTGGATTAATGAAGCAGCAATTTGTTGAACATGGGTACCTCTTGATGAGTTAATTGCAATGCTCTAAATAGGGGCTTACGAAATTATTTACTTGCGCAAATTCCAGTTCCCAGCAACTTGCCCAGCTTGAATCAATTGTTAGCACGTTTTTAAGGGATAAATGGACATCTCGTGCTGGTATCCCTCCATTTAGGACCACATTGACCAAATTAGATGTAGCCACCTTGAATATATGATGGTTATTTTAATGTTTTTATTTTATTTATATGTTAATGGATCGAGTTATTTCCGTCCATCTCTAAGGTTTCTTGTTGTATTAGCCATATACCCTAGTAGGTATAAGTCAAATGAAAGCATGAGTGAGGGACAATTAGGTAATTTCAAGTTATAATAAAATGGGCTGATGGACCTATCTCCTTCGATATATACGTATATTTTCCCACATCACACTGCACGTAATTTCAAGTTATAATATCATCCTATATCACAAAGATTAGTTTTAACATTAATGATAAAACTACAGAAAAACAAATCACTTATTAATATTTTTCTTTTGGTTCATTAGAGCCAGGCTTATTAGATTTCGAGTAATACAATGGAGAATTCTTCATTAGTACATAATAATAAAATAAATTAAAGTCGTCATAATCAAACATTAAAAAGAAAATTTTTAACTCAAATCTAATGCAACACATGGTTGATGAAAACACTCTAAAATCATGAATAACTCCAAAAAAAAAAAAAAAAAAAAAGAAGCTGTGAAAAAAAAAGTTATACTTAATTAATAAAAGAAGGTTTTCATCGAGTAAATTATAAATTAGTCCCTCTCGTTTTGATAAATGAATTAATTATATCCTTTCATTTCAAAAACCAATTATTTAGTCCTCATGTTTTGAAATTTACTTATAATTTAGTCATTTTTGCTCAATTTTAATTTATTTTAATTTTTCGTTCTAAAAAATAGAAAAAGAAAAAAATATGGAAAGCTTGATGAGAAGACAAGAGATTTTGTAGAATAAAAATAATATTAAATTAAATATGTTCAACATTGATTAAAAGACTAAATAATAGTTTTTGAAACGAAAGGAACTAATTAATTTATTTTTTAAAACTAGAGGGACTAATTTATAATTTACTTGTTTCCATCATTAAGATTTTAACCACCTTCTAAAAATTGTGCATTAAAAAAAACACACCTTGGTCAAATATATGCAATTAAAAATAATTTATCTAAAATAGAATATTTAAGAGATTATTGCATGTTTGGTATGTGTATTTTTTTATTTGAGTGTCTTCATTTTTTTTATTTTTACTATTTGAGGGTATAAATTTTTAATTTTTTTTAATCAAATATTTATGTTAGATTCCATTAAATCCATATTAACAAGTCACCTTTAATTTGAAAATAATTAAATTGATTGGAAAAAAAATTGCTAATAGGATGATATCAAAAATTAATACAAAATTTTGTTTGAGTGCAAAATTGTGATTATTTATATAATTGGAGGGCGTTTTTAAGATAACAAACAAACATCTTAATTATTTTTATCAAAAAACAGTTGAAGAACAAACGAAGGAGTTTTTTCTTAAAAAAAGAAAAAAAAACAAACAAATGAAGGAGTTACAATTTACAAACAGGAACAGGGAAAAAAAAAGCGTGAAAAGAGAATATGAAGAAAGGAAGGGAGGGGATGTAGATTCACGAGACAGCTTTTTCGTGCACACGAAACGAATATTTTGCGTAGAACTTTGTACATTCTATTTCACGAACATTTAAAAAAAAAAAAAAGAACAAAAAACTAAAAGATTCGGAGAGTTCCGCTTTGCAATTACGGTAGCAGTAGGCTCAGTGGCAATGTAGATTAAAACACAGTTTTTATTTTTATGATTTTTGCATATTTTTTTCAAGCAATTATATGTAAATTATACAAAATTTTACGCTTTGGTCCTGATTTTTCTAAAATCTTTAATTTAATTCATAACTTAACCTGTGACATACTTTAATCTTTGTTTATAGAGAGAAGAGAGAAAGGGTGCATGCTAGGCTTATTCTGACCATTTTAGCCGGTAATATTTCATTTAATTTGTTTATTTGGGAGAATTGATTTTGTTTATTATAGTTTTAAAACATAAAATAATTAGATGAGATAGATCAAAACCTCAAAATATTATAAATTTTTAAATTTAATTTAATTTTTTTTACGTGCATTATAATCAATTTTAAAGTTTCAAACATGTTTATAGACCTTATTTTGGTATCAGTACAATATTTTAGAGCAAAAATGATGCATGTGTTGAGTTTTGAAGATAAAAAGCTCAAAAATCTATTTTTTTAACATTTTTTTTTTGGCGAATTCAAATTCGTCGAAGTTACAGCAGACTACACATCGTTTGTTGCTCTTATATGTGTGTATGTGTACGCGTGCATGTGTGTGTGGGTGGGTAGGGGCTAGCCTAAACCAACCAAACCTGCTTTGTATTTTTTTTTCAACAAATTTTTATTGTTTTTTATTGATTTTGTGTTAAATCTATGAAAAGATAATCCTTTTTTTTCATGCAGCCTGCTTATGACGAAATATGATTTCTTCTATTTGTTATTTTTTATTTTTTTTGCTTCTAAAATTTAAGATGATTTCTTTAATTTATCTTCCTTTTTTATTGACTTTATGTTAAATTTATAAACAAATAATCCTTCTTTTTTTTTTTCATGCAACCTGTTGATAAAGAAATATGATTTCTTCTATTTGTTATTTTTGAATTTTTTTTTTTTTTTTTTTGCTTCTAAAATTTAAGATGATTTCTTCAATTTGTCTTCTTTTTTTGAAAGCATCAAATTAATTTCTTAATTAATTTTTTATTTAATTTTATTTGTTAAAAATATATTTTAATTTTCTTTATTTATGGATTTTTAAATAAAATTTTAGAATGTGATTATTTTTTAAAAATACATTAATAAACTTTATATGATAAATTTTTTTATTTTTTAAATGAGAGGTGTGTGTGTGTGTGTGTGTGTGTGTGTGTGTGTGTGTGTGTGTGTTGGGGGGGGGGGGGTAAATTCTTATGATTTTTAAATTAAAACAACAAGTCACGTTTTTTTTTTTTTTTTTAGTTGAAATTGTTTGGAAAACATAAGGAATAATCTTTTAAATATAATATTTTGATTAAAAGTTATTAGATTTGTTTTAAAAAATTATTTTTTATTCAATATATTTTAATAGATTCACGATATAATAAAATATAAAAAACATTGTGGCGGTGCCAAAGTAGGAAAAGCAACATAGACAATAAACTAAACAGATAAATAATGCACAAAAGGCAAAAATAAAAATAAAGATAAACCCAGTCAGAGGCATGCCAATATAAAACCAGGAAAAAAGAAAACCAATAGAGACTGGAATGGGAGGAAGACAAAATAGAAAGCAGAGAAGAGGAGAAACAATTATACTGAGGGAAGCAACAAAACAAATGAATCACTCATTTTCAGTACCTCGGGGCCCAAAGGAAGCAATAAAGAAAGATAATTTAAGCAAGCAAAAGAGTCCAGTGGATTAAAAACTCAGTATTCTTCCATGAAAGGCAACATCTAATCAAGTCTAATCAATGATAAGAAGACAAAAATTGAAAGAAATAAGGACAAAAAAAAAAAAACTAGAAAAGATATGGAGTGAAGGCTTATTCAGTTTCAAGCGTAGCCGAACATGCAAAGGTAACAAACCGAGACGGAAAAACATGAACCAAAGAGGCACTTCCCAGTCAGAGACCAAAAAAGAACAATAATTCGAAACACAAAATCAGTGGTGGGGTTTGAGATGTTAGAAAGCACTCATGAAATCGTACAAGTAGAAGCATTCTGGGAGAAAAAATTGCCAAAAAAAATCATGACGTAGGACCATGACTGTGGAGCATTAAATGCTCTATTACAACCGTGACTAAACTGCCGAAAAGAAGCATACAATAGCTCAAAGAAAACCAAGAAATGGGGGGCACAAACGTAACCCGATAACAGCCCCAAGTGACAGATAAGAAATTAAGCAAACAACGAAAGGGCGTAAACTAAGAGCGAAAATGAAACCCCAAGAGGAAAATAAACAAATAGAAGACAATACAAGAAAAGGCGCAAATGAATGGCACACAGAGAGGCAGGCAAACAGAGCAAAAAAGGGACGGCCGAAAGGGGTTGAAAATTGGAGCATAGTAAACCGAGTTAAGGATAAACAATTCATGAACAGCTTCAACCCATTTTTTTTTAATGTTTATATATATATCATGGCCACTTACTGCTCCATTATAGCATTGCACCTGATTTCAGCCGTTGAGATTTTATTTCATCAAACTACTGGAGGTTAGAATTTTTTAAATATTAGTAATTATTTTTTCTTACTAGGAAACCCAAATAATTATTTTTAAAATCAATACTTTGTATTTTAAAAATATAACGGATCAAGTTTTCTTTAACGGATAAATTTTATAATGCATGCAAGTAATTAATGATATATACAATAATTATTCTATGAATTTATTTTGAAAAGAGAAATAAATACAAAAAATATATAAAAAAGAGAGAGAAAAAAAACGCTAATGTGAAAATTTTTATATTTTGTATGTATCCAAATGTAATTCAACCTTGTAAAATTTGTGATGGGTTCATTATCCCTAGTTTGGTGTGGATTCGGTGTCTTTACGAGTAGATAATAGTAATTGAATCGCAACCCTGAAGCTTCGAGCCACCTAGCCCCCACCGTCCCTCACGGGGACTTCTAAACGTGGCTGATTCATGAGCTGGACCACCGCCCACAAGTCAAACACCGTCGTTTCAATAAAGCATTATGAGGCCCCCATTTTGTCCCCACCTACACTTCCTGCGGGCCCCCCACGTGACTCCACGAATATTCCTTCCATCTTCTCCGCCGGCGAATATTCCACGCTGGTTCCTACGTGGCATCTAATGCATACTTTACTCTTCTCCTTCGCTTGGTCTGAGTGACTCCTTCACCGTCTGATTATCTTAATGGTTTCTTAAGTTGTATCCGGCGGCTATTATGGGATGTTGATGTACACATGAATATGACAACGTAAGAATTCTTTCCAATTGTAAATGTGTTCAATCATGTTGCTTCAGATTCCTCGCCGAGCTTTACTCTGCATGTACATACACACATATATATTTTATATATAAATATATTATTACTATTCTAATTGTGTAAATAAAAGATTTTTTTTCAAGCAAGTAATCAAATTTCACATCCAAAGACATGATAACCAACATGTCTCCTCAACATGTAATATTGCTAGCTACATAGGCTTAATTTTATAAATATTAAATCAATGATATCATTTGAATCATCACAATAGAAAAAGGCGTTTGATATAGATGTACTGAATCTATACTAAATTGTTTTCAGTTAGACGCATCATAATTATTATTAAGAAGTATTTACTGGTTTAATGATTTTTCCCCCTTCCCGAATAAAACAAGAATTCTATGTTGTTTCTCTATAATATATATATATATAGACCATTATATATACTTGTCTGTATTTGGTTTTTTTTTTTTTCCTCTTGCTTTGTACACTTGTTGAATTTTGGTCACTTCTTGTTGTAAAGAACTGCTTTACATAAACAAGTCCTCTTGAGCCTCTCTTTACTTTCTTGGTAGCCATCTCCTCCTTTTTTTTAACTTTTGGGTCTTCTTATGTTCTGGCTAGGAAGAGAATTTTAGAAAGACGAAAAGCAAAAGGCTGCTTGAAGACTTCTATTCTTCGGTCATTGAAGTAGAAAAAATAGCTTTGTTGGAATTTTTGGGTGTTATACATGGAGAGAGCAACATTTGGTGGTGGAGGGAATTATCCATACGAGAATGGGGTGGTGATGATGACAAGAGACCCTAAGCCAAGACTTAGATGGACCGCTGATCTTCATGATCGTTTTGTTGATGCTGTCTCCAAACTCGGTGGCCCTGATAGTAAGTTTACTCTTTACTCAAAATTATTCTTCTTTTTCTAGTTTGAACTTTATTGAATTTCTAGCTAGCTCGGAGGGATTTGCAAGATTGATAATTTGCTTGATTCAGTTGCCCATATTAATTGAAATAACCAGTAGTGCGCTTAGTTCATCTGGATTCTTCCAGGAAATATGATTATAGCTACTGCAAATTTTCTGACTCGATTATACAGAAATTATATCAGAAATAACTGCTCCTAGTAATAAAAGACTTGGACTTTGCCTTGATGGTAGTAATGCTGTTGGCATTTAGAAAAATGAAAATGACAACATATACACTTCATATATCTGGTGCATTACTGTCCGATTGTTCTTGATGTTTGTACGAACTTAATGAACTTGAGTCTACATTTGAATGTTCTCTGTTTAATCTTCTAATAAAAATCTAATAATATAGACTGGATTTTATTTTCAGAGGCTACTCCGAAGTCAGTCTTGAGGTTGATGGGGTTGAAGGGTTTGACATTGTACCACTTAAAGAGTCATTTACAGGTGTAGTCTTAACATAACTGATGCTGCCTTCATCAGTTTTGCTTGTTCTGTTTCCTTTCTTTTTGCCCTTTGAATTGTGATTGTGTAATTATTCTGGCTTATTTGTTTGCAGAAATACAGACTTGGACAGCAGGCTCGGACACATAACAATACAGAACAAAACAGAGAGAGCAGAGGTTAGTTCATCGCTGCCTTTTTTTATTATTCCATTTTTTACGACAAATGACTGGTTTCAGTTAAAAATGTTGGCATTCGATCCAAATTTAGCTTATAAAGTGTTACAAGAATTTGCATAGTCGATTAGTTCTGTGAATTATTAGTCTCATGACTTACCAATGCAATTAACTTCTAGGGGCTTCATATGTAAACTTCAGTCATAGTTCCTCAGGGACGACAAGTACCAGTTCACCAGGAATGGATAAAGAACAAGGGTATGCTCCTCCATCGCTCTTCTGCATTTATATGTAGTTTGTTCATATTAAAAAAACAAAACATGAATTTTTCTGGACGACTCAAGCCCTTAATGGTGTGTCCCTTGTGCAACCATTTTTTAGCTGCATCAGCAGAAACCGGTTTCCTTGAACATAGCTTATTTAATTATATCAATAAATGCTTTTGTTTTTCCTTGTTCTTTATCCCCTGCATTTCTTTGATGGAATGGTTTGAGAAGGTTCTATTAAATCACGTGCTTTTGCTGATTACTATTTTTCTTGTATTTATTTTCCTATGAGATAAAAAGTACCAAAAGTAAAATCTGCCCTGGCATAAAAATTAGCTTAACCTTAGAATGATCTCATCTGGGATTCTCCTTGATGCTCTATTTGCAAATTTTTATGTTGGTACTAATTAATGTACGTTCAAAACAGAGAAATCCCTGTTGCAGAGGCATTAAATTGTCAGATTGATGTAGATGAAACATTACAAGAACAGCTTGAGGTACAACTTCCACATGGAATTTTGCTATCAATCTTTGTTTTTTTATTTTGGTAGTTGCACCTAGAATATCACCAATATCACTTAACTTAGCTAGGTCATTCATTCTCATGTTTCTCGTTTGACGTATTGAGTTGATCTTTTCTCCAACAGGTACAGAAAAAGCTGCAGATGAGAATAGAAGCACATGGGAAGTACTTGCAGGCTATACTGGAGAAAGCCCAGAAGAGCCTCTCACAAAATTTGAATGACGACGGCAATGGAAATTTAGAAGCCACTAGAGCTCAATTAACAGGCTTCAATTTGGCTATATCTAGCCTCATTGAGAATTTGAATGCAGAAGATAGGAAACCGAGCATCGCAGATTTGAAAGGTATCGATATCAAGGAAAATGGTTCGGCTATCCATATCCAGAGAGAGGGACAGACACAGGAAACTAAAGATGTTAAGCACCATCCTCAAGGAGATTCCACACATTTTGACTTAAACAGGAAAGGCACCTATGATTTTGTTGCTGCAAATGGATCTGAGTTGGAACTCAAAATGCTTTCTTATAGGAGATAAAATTAGTGGTAATATTTACTAATCACTTCCATAACAACTATGCGTACCTCCTTATAGTGCGACCCTCAAAAGCTGCTTATAAATATCGTGGAAGGTTTTTGGACTTCTTTTTTATTATCTTTTGATTTATTGGGTGGTCTGGTCGCTGCACAACCAGGGTACCACCATTCCCCGGTATTGGTTGTGTTTCTTTTTCAGACTACTCTCATTATAACTTTATAAGAACATTTTAAACCATGTCAAATCTACCATAGCTAATGTCCAAGAATCACTCCTCCGGACATACTCATAGAATGAATTGCTCTTTGATGCAAGAAATTCGTATTTATATTCTCCCATCAACAAAACCAATGTTCAATTGTACCAATGTTTCTCATAAACTTGACAGATCTTTGTTCCCAATTTTGTCGATCTTTATTTCCAATTTATTGTGTATGGTTCATGTTTTCCTGAAGCTCCGAGAATTGCGAATTCCTAAATTGGAAAGAAGTATGTATTTTTTAATTTGTGCAACACACTTATGTCTGAGCTAGGCTCCTCTGTCATCTTCAAGCTTGTCATCATGGGCCTAGGCAGCCAGGCCCTGTTACAACAGATACTAGGCCCAATTTCTCGTTAAGGTTAGTTAAAAGCCTTAATCTTCGTAAGAAGCTTCAAGGTCAGTAATACTCCAGGCTCCAAATTAGCAAGCAAATCACAGGCATTCACGCCCAATCAGAGGTGAATAAAAGACCAGTAATATTAATTGATTTGACCACTAGTCGTTTCCTAAAAACATTCCACGTAACCTTAATAGAGCATAATGAAACAAGAAGAAGAAGAAATTTTTTTTTCAGATATTCGTTATACTGCTGTTGGAGGATTTGGGTTACTTTAAACAAAGATTTTCAGATACTCATCCATGCGAGTGTATTTCACTTCTGGATAAAGGTTTGAAGCTTCTTCTCCATCTTCTCCTATTTCAAAATTTGTCAAACAACCTTCATAGAAAATATGATAGAAATGCCCCATTCCTGCCTTGGCTGCATAATCCATGTCTGCAATATACAAAGAGATTAACCAAATATAACGTAGACAAACAATGAAAAAAAGATTGATGATGTATACATGATAGTGGGCCATTAATTCCTTTTTAAGTCCGCATGTATACGTACCTTTCATGGAAGCTAGGAAGTCATCTCCAGAAATGATGATCTTTTCTAGTTTCTTTCCACTGAGTTTCTCCCAGATCTCAACTAACTGTCTTTGGGAGAGAATGTTTTCTGGTGGCCTTAGGTACAAGGTTTTGTTCAATGTTCGAGGATCATCTATTGCTTTGATTGTGTATGTTGCAACGTCATCTTCATCCATGTAAACAACTATAAACAGCAAAACAACTTGTATTATTATTCAGAATAAATTAGAACCAAATAAGATTAATGGTTTCCTTTCTTCTTACTATAGATTACTTACTCTTAGCATTGCCATCTCCATAAAGATGAACTTTATCTTTTGGAGGGGTTAGGGTCTCAAGCTGAGAGAGGCTGCCAACAAAGTAACCCGCAAAGCAGTTAGCGGATACATAAGTGAAGGGGATCTTAGCATCTTCGATTGCCTTTCTCACAATCATTTTCTCATCAAATGTTTCTCTTCCTGGTGCCAATGCATGCTCCATTCGTGCTGGGTCCATACCAAATTCTGAGGGCAAGAAACGCTGCCACAATTCGATAGAGGAGTATGTTTAGACTTCTTAATAATTAGTATCCTAGTAAACTAATAGAAAATTAAGCATGCATGCATGCATGCATGCATGCATGATCTTTTTAATGTCATATATATTACTGTTATTGATATGCTTGGATAGAATTATTTAAGAAACCTACAATTTGATCTTCATTATATATATATATATATATATGGAGCAGCCCCTAATTAATCCCACACCAATCTTTCTCATCACCAGAAGTACGTAATTAGGTCAATATTTTATTTGCTTGACGTTTGGTGACAAAAACTGTTTTCCGTCGACAAAATTTCATCGGAAATATTGACCTCGCTCATTCTTTTTCTTGACGAATATATATTGTCAAAGAAGACTTTGGGTCCTTAGTAAAAAGAGAGAGAAAGAAAACTTGGTTTAAGATTAGGTAAGTCTTAATTTCAAGAGCGAGCTCAACAATGATAGGGAGGGAGAGGGGGACATAGGGGGCAAGAGGGAGAGAGTGGGACATTGCGTGAGAGAGGGAGGGAGTGAGGGAAAGTTAGAGAAAGAGAGATAGGGAGAGGGGGAGAGAAGGTGAGATGGGGGGAGATCAAGATGTCTGCTTAATTAAATTCAAATCTTTAAAAATAAAGAGTTGAAAACCAAATCTTAAAATTGGGGTTGAGAATAGAGAGGTGGCAGGTACAGGGTTGAGTAAGCGTCACATAATCAATAGATACATGCAAGATGCCAAGATTGGAATTATACTGATTAATTAAGGGATATGCATGCTATATCGGCATATACATATTCAGATTTTATGGAAACATAATTACCTTGGAAATTAAGATGAAAATTTGAGAAGCTTGCTAGATATATAAATGCAGATTTAATTAATAGCACAATTAAAGAGTGTATTAGTGAAGGAACAAAAGACCTAGTAGCAAAAAGAACATTCATACAGTAATATTAAGCTCGACGACATATGAAAAGGCCACAATTTACATCAGGGAATTAAGGGTTAAATTGTGGGGAGCCATTATTCAGTATTAATTCCAGAATGCTACTTAATTATTACCAGTTTTAATTAATAATAATTAAAAGAAAAAAGAAAAAACACGCACGTCCTCGTCTATATCTGACGATGAACATTAATCTTTGTACTATATATGTGTCATCTAATGAATATTGACGATTAGTGGCATAAACAAATAGCTAATTAATGTTTTTGACCTGCATCACTTGCATGCAGGCAGCCCAGAAAAGGAAACTGAATTATCATGAATATAATTCAAATACCTTCACATTTCCTGCTTCTTTGATCGCATCCACGAGGTTGAGCTGCATCAAAATGTTGTGGGTCTTAAAATGCACCCCGGACATGGTGCAAATGACAACATCAACTTTCTTCACAGCTTCCACAAGGCTTTGCTGATCGGAAAATGAACCCTGAACAAGTCGAGCTCCTTGCTTTTTAAATGACATTAGCACATGTAGCTTATCAATGTCAAGGCCTATCTCAGGACGTTGAAGGACATAGGTTATATGGCCTTGGTCTAAGCTTGCTTTCACAATTCTCCTACCGATATACCCAGTAGCCCCTACAACAAGAACCTTGCTCTTTCCCATCCTTAATTCTCTTGCTTTGATTGTTTCAGGAGTCATATATATATATATATAGTCTAAGATACTCTTGATTTGGTAAATTGAAATTGTCAATGGTTTAGTGTAGTTAGCAAAATCAATTCATTGGGTGAGGAGATCGATGGGTTAGGTGACAAAATTATTGTGTTGAATGTCAGAAAAAGTAAGATGTTAATTTGCGGGAGGCTAGGCTTAAACGTAACAAGAGTTTGACTTCTTTAAAGTTTACATCACTATATATATATATTCCTGTTCTCCTATGGGTTTACGTTTGTGCTAAGAATTTGAAATTGAAAGAAAATTACCATATAAAGAAGATACACAAATCACATTTACACGCAGAGAAAAAGTAGTAGAGATTATGAACAAACATCTATTTATTTTTATTTAAAAGAAGCCTATATATATATATTAAACTTATGTGAAATAACTAATTAATGAATTTCAAGGGCCATTTTGATTTCTGGGTGTCATTTCTCCCACTAAAGTTCGTGGTTTATGTATATGGGAACTTAATTATTTACCAGTACCGAAATTACTAGCTATTAATTTTAATTCTAAATATAATTGCAATGTAAATTAATTCCTTTGAATTAATAGGAATATATAGCAATCAATTTTATCATATAGCTTGATCAAAAAGAATATTGCTCTTTTATAAGTTTTATCTTCCAAGTTCCAACCAACCAAACATCGATTTCTACGGCGCAACCGTCATGCTCATTACTCACATAGATGTCAAGCCGTGCACTTCACCTTTGAAATAAAGAAAAGACAGTCCTTTCTCGATGGCGTTGGCATTTCTTATTTGAAGTTTTCATCAAGGAACTTTGCTCGTGGTTTATTTGTCCAAATTTGGTGACGTAATTTTAACGAAACCAAGGTGTCATGTTTATAAGAATAAAAAAAGAAAAAGAAAGTCGTGCATTAATAATTGGGTGACCTGTGGGTTTGTCTAATTAAGTAATTTAATTACTAAATCTTCTTCATTGACATTTTCTTTTTCCCTGAAGTTCTACTTTGATCCCTTGTCAAACAAGATAATGCCTTAAGCATTCACTTCAAAAGTTCCATCTTTTAAATTCTAAACATTGAAAATAAAGCTTACAAGCATTTAAATATTTATTTAGATATCAGCACTAAACTAGCAACATGTAAGTTACGGTTTTTATAATTATCAATTAAAGTGACCTGTAGTTTGAAATTAATTCATTTAAACAAGGGGGCATGAACAACCCGTGATTTGTATATTTGTGGGCGTAACTATCTAACTAGAAAAAATAAATTTTCATGCTAATGTTTTTTATCGTTTTTTTTTTTTTAACAGTAAGAATGTTTTCGAGCTAATTTTTAGACATTGTACGATTAATGTTTTTCTAAACGTGATTGAAAAGTATTCTCCAACGTATGGTTTCAGATATTTTGATAATAAATCCTCAAGAATGCTAGATACAAAAGTCAAATTTTAGACTTAATTTATAAATCGATGTTTACTTATTAGCGAATTATTATATTTTCGTGTTTTAATTAGGTATGAACAATTAAAGTACCTTTCTAATTGAAATTAAGGTTTGAAGCTTGATTATTCCAAATTTTTGTACCTAAAACACCACGTATTATATCTTTGTTTTTCTGCACCTACGGAGTCAAGAAGATTATTATTATTATTATTATTTTGGCATTGATCATAGTTAAGCGAAGCACTTCCTAATTCTGGACGATGAGGTTTTTTCGATGTAATAACCGGCCGGATTATATATTAGTATTGTGCATGGAGACCTGCGCGTCCCTGCTTTACTGTTTCATGTACTGAACGGAAAGAATTTTTGCTAATTACTATATGCTGTTTCCTAATTAATTAAGCAAGCTTTGGTGTAATTAGAAAACAGAATTAATCAATGGATCCATTTCAAAAGTTCATGAATTTGACTTTGATCTTCTTCGTTCTAATTAATCATGCACTGGAAATGAGTTTTCTTTTACTTTCATTAATTTTTAGTTAACTGTCTATTTGAAGGATCTAGTTTCTGGTGGTTGTGGAGAAAATGCCATCTCAACCTTCTAGTACATTGCATGGTAATATTACTAATATTAATTAAATGATAATTTCTCATTGCCAAACTTGTCATGAATGAGTCATGCACGATGTCATCTTGTCCCATTAAAAAAAAAAAATTCTACAGTTTTTCTCAGCCGACAAAAGAGGGTAAATTCATGAAAATTCGTGACCTGAACAAAATCCCAAACCTAACAGTCTCTGTCTTCTGGAAGTTGCTACTAGCGTCAACCAAAACCAAATTCGGGAAGTTTCAGCAACAATAAAAACGGTGGGGTAGCTAGCACCTGATGATCTGCCCTCCGATACCCACGACTTGCCGCCCGATACGCACTAGATATGCTCTGTGCTAAACTTGCACTGACAGCTGAAAATAAGAAAGAAAGTTTCTGCTTTGATCTCCACTGAGTTGCTGACCGTTAACAGAGAATCATTTAATTTACGAAAAAAGAACATCTCTTTACGGCTCACATTTTATAATTAGATTAACGACACAAATTATGGTTCTACTTTTTGGATTTTCTTAATCTGGTTCCTCCTCAACAATTTCATTTTTTCTAATATTCCCTTTGTAGCACTTCTGGTCCCCTTTATTATTAATCTGATCCCTTCGTTTCACTTTTTATTATACATATGACGAAGATATATTGTGGAATCATGCCCGATCACGTAAGACAATTGACACATGTTACACAGGCCATGTGTTAATAATAATATTCTTAAAAACAAAAATATATTTTTAAAAATCAATTTTTTATTTTAAATATATTTAAGATAAAATAAAATTCATTGTAAATCTCTTTTTCTAAACAAAACAAGCAATATAATGATCATCTAACACCGTATGCATGTGGAAATTATTCAATTATATGCTCTTAAAAAATTATAAATTGACCACTATTAAATGTTAATTAAAAATGAAGTTTTTAACCGTACTAAATGATTTCTCATGTGACCGTTCACCTGTTTTTTTTGTTGAATTTATATTAAAAATCATTTATATGAGAAAAAAGAATATAAAAAATATTTAGCGATAATTATCAGAAAAATCTTATAAAAAAATCTTCTATCTGAAAAATTCACAAATTTATTTTTAAATCACCCAAACTTAAAATAATATTTTTCTTACTAAAATAATATATGCTAAATTAAAATTATTCTATATATAAATATAGAATAAAATGGAATTAATTTGGTGATATAAATTGGCACTCCTCCCATCTTATGATCACACTCTCACTGTCTCTCTTCGTTTTCTTTTTCAAATGACAAAAACATCCTCATTTTATATGTAATAATCCTTCCATTCTTTTACTTTCCAATTTGCCGTTAGTTTTTAATTTTGACAGCTTAAGTGGGACACGTGGCAGAAGCTCATTGGTCATAGTTGGTGAATAATGTTCATGTATCCTACAATTGAGTAAATTATAAATTAGTCCTTTTATTTTTAAGAAACAAATTAATGAATTTCTTTTTTCAAAAATTAGTTTGTTTATCAATTGACAGTTGTTGACCATGATTAATATAATATTGTTTTAAATTTTTTTAAAAAATCATATTTTTTCATCAATCTTTCTATATATTTTTTTAATTTATTTTATCTATTTTTCTATTTCTCAAAATAAAATGAAAAAAATTAAGTTATGGGAGAATTCAAATATATAGGAACTAAATAATTAGTTTTTAAAATAACGAGGATCAATTAATTTGTTTCTTAAAACTAAAAAGATTAATTTATAATTTATGCTCCTACAATTTTGGGTGTCAACATCCAATCGGGTTCTCGTACGGCTTGGATGCCAAATCAACACCCATCAAAAATTTTATTACAATTTGCTGAGTTACTTCGTATTATATATAAATTCAGAAGATTAAAAAAAAAAAAAAAAGGAAAGACATATTTTGAGCAAAATAACAAAGAATATCAGAAACACGAGTACCTCATTGTTAAAAAGTATAAAAAGATTAACTATAAAACATGATAATTTTTAAAATAAAATAATATTAAATTAAAGGAGAATGCTAGTTAAAAATTAAAAATTAATTAATTCGTTTCTCTAGAATAAAAAGACTAATATATAATTTACTCAATAGTAGGATACATCAGCATTACTCATCAATTGGACCAATGAGCTTTCACCACATATCCCAACTCACCTATCAAAATTGAAAATTAATGGCAAATTGAAAAGCAAGTGAATTGAGGGATTATTACATATAATTAAAGTAGAGGTGTTTTATCATTTGGAAAAAAATAACTATGAGAGTGTGATTATAAGGTTGGAGAAGTGCTAATATCACCCATCTATGAGAAATTTTATATTATTTAAAGAGTAATTATTATATATATATATATAAATATATTGTAATTGCTTTATAGATTCATTTTTCAAAAAAAAAAATAAACACATAAAAAAAAACCATACATGGATCCATAAAAAATAATAAAAAGATTTTCACCTTAATTCGTTTTTTTAAATTTTCTCTCTCTTATTTTTTTCTCTTTATATTTATCTCTTTATAAAATAATTTACACTATTTACTTCTTAAATATTATAAAATTTCTCCCCATCCCTGTCATCGTGTTCACCTGTCTAGGGTCTTGAAAAGAAGCTTGACGTACGGTGGTTTGCGGTTGCTCTGGGAATCGATGTTGCAGTGTTTGTGTTAGGCCATGTACGTGGTCTAAGTGTCATGTGTTCATAAAAACGATTATTTCTTTTGTTCTTGCTCTTTTCATTATTTAATGAATCTTGGCTTATATATATATATATATATTGCCACAATAAATATTTGAATTTATATATTTTTTAATATTATACATGAACACTCACAATTATATTATTAATATGGGTCATTTAATACGAGTCTCTAAGTTTTATTATAGCAATAACTTGATTTGCAACATTGTCTCCTTGCATGCTAAAGT